GCACGGCACTCCAAACATGACCAAAAATACCAGAGAAAATCTTCAGTTGTCACTGCCGAACCAAGTCTGAAGGACCTCTACAATGTTTACATGAAAGGTGTTGTTGGCAGTTCGCCTTCATCCCACCACTTCCCTTTCATTCCCTTTCTTTCCTCCATCTTTAGAGTTACTATTTAACTAACTAAGGAATACTTCTTGCATGGTTTTCATATAAAACTCAATGTTTTGCTCATTTTTTACAATTCTTCTGTATTTTTATATTAAGTACTTTTTAATATTTTGGAGATATATGAATAAATATGTATAGGCTGATGAGTTTGGTGACAGCAGCGTACATGAATGAGCAGTATCTACCGTGGACTCTTGTCTTTTTACAGCTCTGAATATTTCTGCCACGTGTGTCATCCTGATGTTAGGGCTCAGAAACCTGCAGCAACTTGTTTACTTCCTGTCGGCCATTTAGTTGGAACCTTAATGTCGTGTCATCAGCCCTTTTTTTACATGAACATTATTCCTTTGAGATGTTGTGACGCCGAACACTGAGATCTGGATCCATGAGCAGCTGCAGTCCAGCTGTGAGGAGGCTTCAGGTTTTTATTGGTTCTCTGCATCAAACATGACTCAGTCTGTTCTCAGCTGTCAGCAGGTCCAGTCACAGCTGCGTCCTGCTTCAGGCTCCGCCTCAGAGTGAGGGGCGTGGTCCACGAAGGCCCGCCCACTTCTCAAAGAAATCTGACTCAAAACAAGCTTGGACCTAACAGGAAGTCTCATTTGTTTGCATGTGCTAACTAGCATGTAGCTAGCAGTGGTTCCTGCTACATGTGCTAACTAGCATGTAGCTAACAGTCTGACCCAAAAACCGGATCAAACCTGGACATGAGACGGACTTCATTAGACCCACCTGATATTCTGGACCCGTCTGACCCGGGTCTCTGGTTCCAGCTGCTTCCAGATGTAGTTTTCTGTTCATTGAATGTTTAAAACATCGTTTTAAATTCTGACCAAAGAAGGTAAAAATAAAAACCTGGTCCGGTCCAGTCCGGTTCTGACCAGGTCTGAGGTGGAGCCTGAGGCGGGACACGGCTGCAGAGGATCCAGGACCTGTTCCTGAGAGGAGAGCGGGACAGTCGAAGCTCTCGTGACATCACTTCCTCTTCCTGCTGAACACCTGTGTGTAAATACTGTCCCACCTGCAGAGGGGCGACCAGCCAATCAGCACGCAGCATAGCTTTAACAACCACCGGCTCAGCAGGTGTGTGGGGCTGCTCAGACCGGCCCGACCCGTTTCTTCTGATCCATCAGCCTGGACTGAACCTGCACCTGCTTTTCTGACTTGTTCGTTTTTGGACTCGCTGCAGTTTGCCATCAGGACTGGAGCGGCGGCAGCGCCACTTCCTGTCGGCAGCGCCACTTCCTGTCGGCAGAGTCTCCAGAGAACCTGCTCATCTTCAAAGCTCCAAAATAAAAAAAAGCTTCAAACAAACTGGAATGTGACAGCTGCAAGTCCTAATTACTTCTATATTTATATCCTCTGAGTATTTATCTTTGATATGTGTGTGAGGAGATATCAGATATAAATATAAAGATATAAATATTATTTAACTGCAAAAAAGACTGAAACGGTTTTTGTTCTGTAATTACTATGATACCCAGTAATAGGCGTTGGTGTTATTTTTGTATAAACATGATATCATCTATGTGGCATGCATGACATATATACAGACTTTGGTGGTTTAAAGCAATATGTCCGACCTGGTGCGATTGGTTCTGTCGTGTTCTGTGTAAAAAACCAAAAACACATAAAAAAAACTGAAATAAGAGAAAAACTGCATTTGGAGAAAACTAACTGTTCAGTATCTGTTCAATGTTCTGTGTTCTGCATGTTTTAGTACGGAATGAACCATCACACACGCCGAACACTGCACTGTGAGGACACACACACACACACACACACACTATATCTCTCTATCCTTGTGGGAACTTTCCGTTTTTTTTTGTTTGTTTGTTTGTTTGTTTTTATGTAATTTTATATCCTAACCTTGACCATTCACCCTAAAACTAACCTCACAGGTACCTACCTGACCCTAAACCTACCACCCAAAATCAGCCTCACAAGTCAAGGGGACCAAAGCCCGGTCCCCACAAGGAGCATCAAGTCCCCAAGAGGCTGCATTTTCCTGAAAAATTGTCCCCACCAATAGCAAAAACAAGGACACACACACACACACACAGACACACAACATCATCACATTCTTTTTCCATCGCCTCCTCCAACCTTCGCACCTCAGGTTTACAGAGTGTCCCTGAACTCATCACAGACAGACAGGAAACAGGCCTCAGGTTCAGGCTGGCTCCATCCAACCATCATCCAACCTTCATCTAACCATCCATCCATCATCCAACCATCCATCATCCAACCTTCATCTAACCATCCATCATCCATCCATCATCCAACCATCCATCATCCAACCTTCATCTAACCAACCATGATCCAACCTACATCTAAGCATTCATCATCCAACCTTCATCCAACCATCCATCATCCAACCATCATATAACCATCATCCAACCTTCATTCAACCATCATCCATCCATCCAACCATCATCCAACCTTCATTCAACCTTCATCCATCCATGGTGTGTGTGTTCTGTCAGGTCAGTCCCATCATCAGGGTGAACAGACAGCAGAGGTCAAAGGTCACTCTGAGGCTCAGTCAGGTTGATGGATGGTATCAGACACCACTCACAGGAAGCAGAACTTTTGTTCGGGTCTTTGTGGAACTCGTGGTTCTGCTGAAGAGCGTGTGTCACCACAGAACATCAGATGAATTTATTCTCACGTCTTCATCAGAACTTTGACCTTTGACCTTTGACCTTTTTGTTCTCAAGAAAGAAAAAAGATTCAAATATTTGAACTTATTGGAAACAAATCAAATGTTTCAGGCTAAATTCTCTGTGAAGCTAATGGATGCTAACAGTTTCCCTCCACTCCCAGTGTTTGTGCTAAGCTACGCTAACCCCATCAGAACAAAGAGCTCCTGCAGCTGTGACATGAATTCATGTTTTCATCAGAATGAATGAGACGTGTTCATGTTGGTCAAAAACACTGAGGTTCTGAGTCCAAACCGGGTCCAGGTTCTGACCCGTCTGTGGTGCCAAATGTTCCTGAATGTTTTTATTCACTTCCTGTCAGGAAAAAACACAAACTTTTTATTTTATGTTTAATTATAAAGTTCTTAAAAGGTTCTGATGTGAAGCCGAGCAGCACCAGAACTTCAGCTTTACATAAAACCTGGACTCAAAGTTCTGATTCTGTTTGGTTCTGAATTACATCAGATAAAATATACAGAGACCTGTCAGAACCGGGTCTGGACCTGCAGAGACCTCAGTGTTTCACAGTGTGAACCTAGATGAACCGAACCATCCTGTTCTTCCTGTGTGTGTGTGTGTGTGTGTGTGTGTGTGTGTGTGTGTGTGTGTGTGTGTGTGTGTGTGTGTGTGTGTGTGTGT